CCCCAAAACCCCAAAACCCCAAAACCCCAAAACCCCATGAGATTAAGTGTATAAAAATACATACAGTGGATAAAAAAAGTGAAATAAAAATAAATAACTCTTTAAGAAGTAATAATAATGCTTAATCAGAGAAAAGCATTTAAGCAAGAGATGTTAAGACATTGACTATTCAATTTATAGAATCTCTTGCTTTCCTGCTATTACTGATTAAATCACTTAAGAGTGATTGGATTAACGAATTAGGGCACTTATCTTTATGCACCATTTATAGCTATTTTCATTAAAGATAATCTTGTCCTTCTCACTATTATGATCTTTACTATGCTAATTAAACAATTCTGTCAACAATCCATTCAAATCCTTCCAATAATCCGCGATCTTAAACTGCTGAAGATTCCTGCACTTTTACAGTTGGGGTCTTTTTATTAACATATTCAACCAAACCTAGCATATCTGTCATCTCTGGACCTCTGATTGCATTCGGTAGATCCTGTTTATTTGCGAAAATCAATATTGGGACCTATTTGGCTTCATCGTTTGTAAGCAAATTTTATATCTCATCTTTGGCCTCCATAATCCTCTGTGTGTCTCCTGAGTCTAGGACAAATATTATGCCCTCTATGGATGAGTAGTAGTACTTCCAGACATTCCTCATTTTTTCTTAGCCTGCCAAATCAAACACTTTGATGTTGATATTCTTAACCTGAATGTCCTCGGTATTCACTCCTATAGTTGGTGCAGAGTTAATATACTCATCAAATCTCATTTTATTAAGGATAGTCGTTTTCCCTGCTGCGTCAAGGCCAATGATTACAAGCTTAAACTCTCTTTTTTCATTGAACAAGCGGTCCCAAACGTTAGTAAACCAATTTCCCATTTTAACTTACAATTATTTTATGAACAATTACTCTAATTAATTATATGAATTATTTATATTATCTTACTTTTGTATCTCACATTTTATCATAGCAGAGTGGGGTTTTGGGGTTTTGGGGTTTTGGGGTTTTGGGGAGATCGGAAG